GCAAACAAGAAAAAGAAGATAAAACAAAAATAAAAGAAAAAAAGGAGAAAAAAGAAAAAAAAACAAAAAACAGAGAGGATAATTTCCCAAGTCCTCCAAAACTAGTGACAAAGAAAGAGAGAAAAAAAGAGTGGGGAAAGAAAATAATTCTCTATATTTTCCGATTAGTGATTTCTTTGCAATATCTGTAGTTTTGGAATCTAGCAAGTCATGGTTTTCACTGCCTAGCATTACGGGCTGTGAATTTGTGAGGTGCCTCCCTGTTCTAGAGCCCCTTCTGTCCATTTACCCCAGGCTGTGGCAGCTGTCCAAGCTAAGGCACATCTTTGCCCATGCTGGTAAATGGGTAGAGCAATCATTTGATCTGTGCTGGATGGAGGGAGCAGTGAAAGTGTTCAAGCAGCCTGCTGTACTTAGTGCCAGCACTTTCAGACCAGTCATTTCTGAGTACAGTGCAAGTTGAGCCTGTCTCCTCACCACAGAGGGCAGAATCTATGTTCTTCCCAGCCTGAGCTTAAACTTCTTGGGGGGGGGGTCTATGTGTAAATTGCTCCTTGTCTGTGACTGTCTTTCATGGCTATCTCTCACCCAGGCACTGTGAGCAGGTTACACTGGGAACCTTCAAGTAAAGTTGTTTTTAGTTGTTCTAAGTCTGAGTCTTAAGTAATCAACCCCTTCCCGAGTTGGTGCCTGATTGAACACTCAGGCAATATGGCGGGTACTGCAATGGATACCTTCTCCAGCTGTTTCTTTTCATGTAGAAGACACCTTGGAGCAAAATCCCACACTACTGTTGCTGTTCGCAACAGCTGTGGGCTCCTCTTGGGGCCCGTCCTGCTGGCCTGGCTCACTATTTTACCCTGGAGATCCAGCTTTGAGGTTTGCCTGGTGTCTGCAATTCCTTTTCTTAGGAGTGGGATTCTGTCCAGACTGTTTCATTCTTTGTTTTATGTTGTAGTTCATGTGCCTCAACTTCTTGGTAGCTTCTGTTTTTCTTTCAGTTCCTTCCAAATTCTCAGAGGTCTACAGTGGACTCTTGAAATTCATGGGGATGATTTTCCTAGAACATCTGCAAACTGTAAAACACTGTGAATTTCAGATATGGTCAGGAACAAAATGCCCATTTTTATAGTTTAAACCCTAAATATGCTATGCCTCCTGCAGTTATGTAGTTTAATTTAATAATTCTGTATTAATAAAGCCTTAGAAGGTACAGAGCATTTTTTTCATCATCTTAGGGATTTGGGGGCCTTAAGAAGAACAAAATGGAGAACACTGCAGATAGCTGCACAGCACAATAGCAAGTTATGATGTGGGAGTATTCCAGCAGCTGCTGGAGCTGGGTCATGGGTGGCAGACAGTCAGCAGCAAGGAATACTGAATAAGCTCTCGGATTGGCTCCTTGGGTCTCTGTGAGCAATTATTAGGTTTTAAGATTACATCCAGGAGTGACTAAGCTCTCAAACTCTGAACTGTGAGTTTATGGGAGTATATTGTACTGCATTTATTTATTTATTTATTTATTTATTTATTTATTTATTTATTTAGGCAGAGTCTTGCTGTGTAGTTCAGGCTGGTCTTGAACTCACTTTGTAGTGCAAGCTGGCCTTGAACTCACGGCGGTCCTCCTACCTCAAGCTCCCAAGTGCTGAGATTACAAGCGTGTACCATCATATCCAGCTCCATAATACCAATTTTAAAAAGTTATTTTTAAATTACATTTTAGCCTTAGTTTTTAATTAAATAGTATCTCTTCAGATGTATGTGTATAGCATTAATGTATGTGCTTATACATCCATATATATGTGTGTGTGTATATATTTTTAAGCATTCTTTTTCACTGAAGCTTTTCTTTCTTCTTAATATTAAAGTGAAATTAAATTTCACCCAGCACCTATTATATCATTCAATTATACACAGGATTTTTACATATCTACTTATTCCTGTATGCGTAGAAAAACATCAATCGATGTTCATCAATTGTTAATCATTAATGTGTGTGTTTTGGTTTTTTTTTTAGGCTATGGTATTTAGGTTGTTTGGTTATTTGTGTTTTTTTAAATTCTTATATTTTTCTTTTCTTTCTTTCTTTCTTTTCTTTTTTTGTACTAGGGATTGAACTCAGGACCTTACGCTTGTGAAGCAGGCAGTGGAACCGAGTTAAATGCCTGGCCCTATGCTTATACTTTTCTGTATTGTTTGAATTCTTTTTTTAAATTTTTTTAATAAAGACAAGTGATCAGATTTACTATAAATTCACTGTTTCTGATGGCACTACAACTGTGAAGTTACCTAGTGAAAGTCACAGATGGTGTTTCTTCCCATATTACCTCTGTTCTCGTCTGGACTTTTTTCAGGGGCTTCTATACAATCAGACCCTCTTGTTCTGAATGGCTAACTGCAGGCTAGAAAACTTTAGTCTCCTAAAGCATACTGTTAACTTAAAACAGCAGCTTAAACAAACAAAAACGCACATTGCAAATGATACCCCAAGAAAGGTATTAGACAAAAACAGTTACTACTAAAAGTACTCAATGAGTTGCAACTTAAATCTCACAATACAAAGCCTTCAATTCTCCCTCTTTTGAAAAGAAACGTGTTCCACTTTCACTCACTACTGTACAATCACACACTAAACAATCATTGTGTTCAAATACAGTCAGTGAAAATATTTTTAAAGGAAAAATAAGACAAAGAAAGACGCATTGGCACCACACATATGTATTTCTGCACACTGTAGCCAATACAATGCAAACACCACGGAAAAACTATTTCTTTGGACTTGACCAATTAATCTAGGCTTGAGAAACTCACTAGCTGGTTCTGTGCATGGGTTTATAGGCAATGATTACATCACATGAGACCTGGACCCAGTTGCCAAACCTTCCAACTTTTTAATGTTTGTATTAGAAAACAGTATTGTGAAAGTTTGGAGGAGTAGTGTTTATTGTGTAATGTTTAAAATGTAACGTGGACAAAGAAGCCTGAAAAACTGGTTGTATTTAAAGGTGAATTAAAAAAAATTTTTTTTTTTTGTTTGCAGATACCAGTCATGTGCAAGAAAAGATCTTACAGCGTTTTTTCCTCATTGAGTTGTACCTAAGAAAAAAGTAATCTTGTCCAAATAAATTAAATTAAAAAACCATTCAGAGCATCACCATTTACCTAAAAGAACATGTTGAAATGTTCCAGCAAGTGCCAGACAGAGACAAGGTTGGTAAGTCCTTGGGGTCCTTACACTGCCTGACCCACTGTGCCATCTCAGACCACCTTAAAACCTTGTAGTGCTGACAGCCTAACAAAGTTACAAGAACAATCAAGTGATGGAAAAAGTTCTCCCTCCTTGTGCAGTGGCTTTATGTTGGAATTCTTTATAATCCATGTAAATCTTTTTAAAAAGAGTTGTTAAATTGAAAGGACAATAGGAAGGAAGGGAGGGAGGGAAGGAGAGAGGGAGAAGGGAGAGGGAGGGAAGAAGGAGGGAAGGGAAGGAAGGGGAGGGGGGCATATATTAAAACTGGTGAATCCCAGGCGGTAGAAATGTGAATACAGTCTTCTGTTAAACTGAGACTCTCGAGACTGGGGAAATCTCTGAAACACAAGGTCCACCAAGCTCTTAACAATCCAGCCAGAAAACGACCAAGTTCTGGAGCAAGTTCCCTCAATGACCACCCAGCAGGGTTAGATAATCCAGGAGGCCTACAGCCAGGAGCATTTTTATAACAAAACACTGGAGAAGAAAAGTGTAAGTTGTTTGCAATGAACCTGCATTGATTTTAGATAAGAGGGGTGGGAGAAAGCTTAGGGTGGGAAGCAGTCCACACACAAGTCATTACCACTTCTGGATTGGCTGCACTGAGAGCAGACGCAGTGGCATCTCGTGATTGGCCACTGGGCTCAGTCAGGTGGTGACAGACCCCTGGGAATATGGAACTGTTCTTTTGCTGGTTTGGCCATAACTCCAAATTCCCTGAACTTCTGTTCTTTGTCATTAAATTCAGAACACCCCCGAATTTTTCTCTTATTTCTTTCTGGTATACTTTTGTTTTATCGTAAATTTCCAGTAAATGAAAAGTAAAATGGAGTAGAAAAACTGTAGGTAGAACTGAGCTTCTTTCATTTACACACACAGGTTTGTACCATCACCCCGGCTCCATTGTGATTTCTAAGTTAAAGAGTTACGTGCCAGGTGAGTATAGTATTTTGCAATGTATTGGACAGTAGGATAAATATGAGGAATGAGTGGAGACTGAAAAAGAAAAAACAGTTTGAAAGAATATTTTAATATTTTAAGTAAGAATTAGTGCCTTCAACTAGGCCAGAATCCATAGGGATAAAAAAGAGAGAAGGGATTTTATAAATATTTTGGAAATATGGTAGCTTCCATGAGTCCCACAGACTTACTATCAGAAGGCAGAAGATAGGCCAGGGATCTGGAACATTGTGAATGAGGGAAGAAATCACAGACTCTGAAGTTGAAAACAGAAGGGGGGTCAGAACTCAAAGAACTTCCTGCCATGAGGGGTCAGGCATTATACAACATGTGGGCGGAGGACACTTGGAGAGATAGTAAGAGTGTTTGATTCTCTGCCCCCCATCTCTCGCCCCCTCTCCCTTCCCAATCCCTTTCTTCCCTCCCTCCCTCCTTCCTTCCTTGCTTTCTTTATTATCAGTGATCCCAAAGATGGAACCCAGAATCTTGTAGTAGGCACTCTAACACTGGGCTACATTCCCCAACTCTAAAAATGGGCTTTTATTTTGAAACAGGGTCTCACTACGTAGCCCAGATTGGCCTTGAACTTGCAGCCCTCTGGCCTCCCCTCCAGTGTCCCTGGAATTACAGGTGTGCACCACTAGACCACCTTGATTTACATTTTAAGAACACCACTCTGTGGTGTGTATGGAATGGATTGTAAGAAGGTGATAGTGGACAGAGGAAGACCTTTTGGAATCCTCACACAGGACTTTCAGTGAGGGTTAGTAGTACTGATGAAGGTGAAAGAAGAAAGAAATTCTGGAATATGTGATTT